ATATTCTATATTCTATATTCTATATTCTATATTCTATTCTATTCTGTTCTGACCCCCCTCGTCCCACACCAACACACTCTGAGTCAAAGATACTTTCCGGCATTTAATTAACAGACAGACAGGTCCTTGGCAGCAAACCGGCACAGATAAGCCTTGGCAGCAATCCAGTCTACCAAGCTCACAATAATGTTCTCCAACATTAGTTCCTGCGTTGACTTCTGCAAGAGGTGTGTGTGCACAAGCAGTCTTTTTATAGTCTGGAGAGGAGCCTAATGACCACCAGCTGAGAATTACTTCCTGTACTTGCGCAACTGTTCCTGATGCCGATTAGCTCTTCGGTGCCGGGCATCCAGGAACAACTCACTACTGGCGTCCAGATCACTCTCCCTTGTCTCCTCCCCACTGGTCCAAGGCTCAGGCGCTTCCTGGTGGTCAACCAGCCTCTCTGTGCCCTGCTCGGAGTCGGAACCCTGTCCAGGGTCCTCCACATCCTCCAGAGCCGACTCATAGGGCCCCTCTCTGTCGAAATCTGGTGGCTGCTCCAACGGCTCCTGCTGGGCCACAACAGTTTCCCAACATCAGATCTGTTTGTGCATCCAGCCAACCCGCACCTGCCTTTTCTACCACTCCTGCTCATTCCGAGGGTGATTCGCAAGTTCCTGCTGGAGAGGGCAGAGGGGTTGCTAGTCCCCCACCCCCACCTCACTTGCCATGCTGCTCCTGGTTCACCGACCTGGTCAGCCTCTTCATCGCCGCACCCTGGAGGATACTGGATAACAGAGTAGCCCTTAGCCAGGGGGTTCTCCTCCACTCAGACCCTCAGTGGCTTCAATTGGCCATCTGGCGCTTGAAGGGGACATACTGACGCACGACAACTTCTCCAGATGTGTCATTCATACCAGCCAGGCGACCATCCAACACGTGGGTGTACAACGCAACGTGGTCAGCCATCTGTATGTGGTGCTGACCCCATGGTATCCCAGGACTGCTTCTATTCCCAGGATAGCCTGGATAGGAGTCTGGCACCCAACACTCTACGGAGGCACTTTCTAAGGTACTGGAAGGTGGAGCCGGACACCCTCTGACATATCCCAGAGTTCGTCCTTTCTCAGGGGACCTGCGAAACTCAGAGCACCGGCGGGGCATCGTTATCCATCCTGGGAGTTACCCATTGTTCTTTAGGCTCTCACATTGGCTCCATTCAAACCCATTTGTAACATCAGCCTTCGTCTGTTGACTTTTAAAGTGGTCTTTCTTGTGGCCATTACGTTGGCCAGAAGGATCTTGGAGCTAGCAGCCATTTCGGTTCGCAGTGACTTCTGTATTTTCCACCCAGTCAGAGTGATCCTCTGGCTTGATCCTACATTCCTGACAAACGTCAACTCATGGTTTCACAGAGCCCAGGAGCTGGTGTTTCCGGATTTCTTTCCTCATCTTATGCACTCACTAGGAAGTGGCATCACCTCGATGTTTGACGCTACATCAAGTTTACGGTATCCTTCCGGAGGGCTGAAGCCCTCTTCATTGCCTTTCATCCTGGCTCCATGGGTCAGAAGGTGTCATTGACCCCCATTGGTTGGTGGTTGAAGGCCTGTATTGCTAGAGCGTACGAGATTCTGGCTCGACATTTGCCCCAACACATTCTACAGTGCAGCCACAACTACAACCTGGGCAACTCAAGTTTCGGTTGAAGAAATCTGCAGGGCGGCGACTTGGTCATCTCCATCTCCCTATGTCAGGCATTATAAATTGGACGTGTATGCATCAGCCGAAACTGTCTTTGGACATTGGATATTGCAGGTAGTTCACTCTGGCACCTTGGACCGGTCTATGTCCCATCCTTGAGTCAGTATGCTTGGGCATATCCCATTCCTTTGGATTCTCTAAGCAGTGCACTGGAGAAGGACTGTTGGCTTACCTGAACAGTTGTTCTCAGTGCACTGTGGGAGAATCCAACCCCGCCCAAACATGACTCGTTCCAGTGTTGCTGACAGCAGGGATCGGTTTCGACATTGGGGAAGACACCTTATGTGCTTTCATCTCTCAAACCAGCAATGCCTTCCATTGAAAAACT